GCCAATTTTTCAAAAAAAAATATCAGCACTCTCAGATCTCGGACTTTAAATATGAAAACAATGAATCAGTTATAGCTGGACAAAATGAGTTTTAGATTGATGAATGGTATACAGCTTCTCTAAGACACTGGGACAGAGTATAAAGTTGGAAGATGGTACATTTTTCTATTCTCTATATTTCCTTTTCTTTCTTTTCAGACCAAATGAATACTTACACCAAATTATAACCTTATTTTAATCAGAAAAAAAAAGTCACTATTCTATCTGGATGCACAAAGTCACTATGAAAAAAAGCCTCCTCTTACCAGAATTGTCTAGTTGATCTACACTCTTCCAAGCTGTCATGGCTGACGCGCCGCCCTCTTTCTTTAAATGCGTAGGTAAGTCTAGTTTAGGAGCTAGTGGGTTGTTATCCAGCAGAGTGAAGGCTGAATGGGATCTCTGAGGAGAGGAGGAAGATACTCAAAGCAAATGTCCAAATGCAAAACACAATTCTTCTTTAGTGAATCTGTTCATTATCCCACTGAAGGAGTTTGTTTCACCAGCAGAGGTCCCTGTAAGCTAATAAGCTCAAGAGGTCATTGAAGTAAAACAAATACAACTTCACTTGAAATACAGATACAGCTATAAAAGGGGGAAAAAAATTATACCTTTATAATATTCTATAATATATGTTCTATAATATAAGTTACATGAGATTTGTTTATTGCTGAATTATAAAAAAAACAATGAAAACCTGCATAAAAATAAAGGCCAAAGCTTCTCCAAATGAATAAAAAAGAAAGAGGAGCTTCACACAGGGGATGATTTACCATTAGGCAATACTTGGCAGTTACTTAAGGCCCCAAGTTCCTGGGGGCCCCATAAAACTCTGTTTACATGAATAGTTAATACAGCTATTCCTTATTTGTGCACAATAATTATGTTTTTGACAAAAATCCTGTCACTAAAAAGCCATCAGAACTCTTATAATATTATGTGTGTCTCAGCCCCCCTCTTCAGTGTCCAACACTGGATTAGTTCATTTGCTGCACATGTTCAGAAAGGTCCAAACAGACACCAAACCATCTGAAAACGGTGCGAAGAGCAGTGTTGACTACTTAGCACTTTTGTTGCTATATTTAGTGACTTTTCAGAACCCTCTATCACTTTTTTTTTTTAAACTGCCTAGCGCCAAATCTAGAAACTTTTTTCTACTAGTGAAGACTTTGGCAACAACATATAAAAGCTACTGATCTCCTCTATCTTGTCTGCAGTCATGATTCATGCAGCTATTATTGCATACAAATGAAAAATGGAGAACAGATAAGCAGATCTTGGCTTGCCTACAGTGAAAAGAA